ATCATTAACTTCAGGGAGCCGGTCACTCTGGACTTCCTGGATGCAGAGCTGGAAGACAACAACAAGGAGGAGGTAAAAACCTGGACAGCAGAGGGAGCTCTAGCTGAGTGGAGTCGTTTGTAGTTTTAGGAATAAAAATCCCAATAAGTGTTCTGTCGTTAAAGCTGTGGTTCTCAAAGTGGGGGTCGTGGAGATGTCAGTTTAGATTTGATGCTATAGATGTGTCACCGTGGGGGGGGTGTATCTACCAAAGGGGGCGCTGCAGAAAATGTTTTGGGAACCACTGCATGAAGACCTGATCAGAGAGTCAGAAATGTGAAGATAGTTAACATTCCACTCCCCCCTCTCTCTCTCTCTCTCTCTCTCTCTCTCTCTCTTTTCAGATCCGTCGTCAGATGATTGATGGCAGATCAGGACAGAGGAAAATTAAGACGCTCATTAAGTCGGTTGATGAGGTGAGTCATCAGTGATGTCATGAATGTGAATGACTGTGATGACGGCGGTCTGTGGTCGGAGGAGGAAACGACTGACGACTGAGTTCTCCTGTGTTTGGTCGGACAGCGGTACATCGACGAGGCCGTACGGACGTACACCTGGACGCCCGTGGACGGAACCGACTACAGGTAGGTTTTAGACCTGGACCTGGACCTGGTCCTGGACCTGGTCCTGGACCTGGAGTCGATTTGACGTCTGCGTGAAATGAACTGAAGAGAAAACCAAACAGGATTCACTGGTCTAAACCACTGATGGTGATCAGGATTAATCAGGATTCATCAGGATTCATCAGGATTAGTCGTGATGAATTATAACATTTTGGATAATTACAATTATGATTAATCAGGATTAATTGATTCTCTCCTTGTGGCCTCAGTCTAGGTCTGGTTCTGCCCACGTACAGTGAGAACCACATCAAGGCCAACCTGAGTGACCAGATCCTGCAGGTGCAGTGTAAGTACCAGGGAACTCCCAGCATCCTCCTCTCTCTGCTGTGACTCCCCCTCCC